TAAAATGAAAGGTGTGCAGGTGGGAAGAAGGGGGTGGAGCCTGAACTTTGGGCACTTCAGCTTTTCTGCCCATGAGACCTTTTGCCTGACCCTTTGCCCTACCAGGAGTGGAGCGAGTTCTCCATGCTAAAAGCCTATTATTTCCTCTTTTCTCCTCTTCCTCTAGGTCAGTGGTTCTCAAGGTTTGGAGGCATCAGAATCCCCCTGGGAACTCTTTTAGACTCAGTTTCCAGGCCCCAGTTGCAGAGTTTCTGAATTCACATTCCAGTGTGTTCCTTGGTGATGCTGATGTTGCTGGTCTGAGGACCGCACTTTGAGAACTGCTGGTCTAGACTGAACCTGTTCTCCAATGGGCAGGGAAAGAGTCATCTGGCCCCATATCACTTCACCTTTCTGAGCCTTAGTTTCTTCACCTGTAAAATGGGACTGTGAGCAGTGCTGACCTCACAGAGAGGTTAAGATGAAATGTGCAAATATGTGTAAGTGCTTAAAACGGGGCCTAGCACATCGTAAGTCCTCAATAAATGTTGGCCTCTGCTATTTTTAGGAGTCTTATTGGTCTTATCTGTACCACCTAGTGCTTAGCTGGGCTTGGCATATAGTAGGTCTTTAAGAAATACTCCTTTGAAACCTGGAGCAGTGAGCATAAGTTTGGTGGATACAGAAAACCAGTGAAGAAGGTAGAGGCTGAGACGCTCTCTGCTGGGCTCAGCAGTTAGACCATTATAGACTCTGAGAACAGTTTCTCTGGAGAGGTGGGACAGTGAGATAGTGACCATCCCATCAGCCAAGCCCTTCAGGCCCTCTCCTTTTTTTTCCATTTAATCCTCACAACCAACTTAGGAGGTAGGTATGTGACCCATTTTTCATATGACGAAACTGAAGCTTAGAGACATTCAAAGTCACAGAGCTGGTACAAAGTAGGGGTGATTTTCTAATGGATTTTGGAACTTGGAGTCCACCTGGATGCCATAGAGCCGAAGATTGAGGGTGTACGGCCCAGTGAGCAGCAGTTGTAGACAGCTGTGCTGAGGTCCTCTGGCGGACGGGGCTCAGGGTGTCTTCTCCTGGTGTGTTTGGGCTTCTCCCACTGGGATCATACAGAGCTGCACCCTCAACTCCTGAACCTCAGTCTGAAAAGATGTGCCATTGGCCCCATTGGGGACCAAGTGGCACCATGAGGGTGACAGCAACCTCAAGTATTAACTGTCTCCTGGCCAGTTTTGCCATCTTAGTGTACACACTTACACATATACATGTGCACACACGCACATGCACACATAATACACATACCATACACATATGTGATGAGATGTAGCTATGCCTTTCTCAGTCGACATGCCTTCGTTTTTCCTGTGTGTGAGAGTGATATTAGCAGGAGATAAATGAGGGGCTGTAATATTTTCACTTCTGTTGCGTGCCGTGGCTATGTGTTTGTGTTTGGTCCGCCTAGTTTGTCCAGAGGAGGAAAGGCAGCCCAACCAGTGTCTAAGATCTTGAACTTCCTCCTGCACAGACCAGTTTGAGGTCAAAATGACCTTACAACCTCCTTTAGGGTGAATAAGGGAGGGAGAGGCTTCAGGTCAGTGTGGGCAGCTATGAAAATGTTGCTTAGAACAGGTTTTTCATTTTAGACTCAGATGACTTTTCTTTTTTAATATTTTTAAAAATTGATTTTAGAGGGACAGGAAGGGAGGGGGGAGAGAGAGAGAGAGAAACATCAATGTGAGAGAGAAACATCAATCCTTTGCCTCCAGGGATTCAACTTGCAACCTGGGCATGTGCCCTGACCAGAATGGAACTGGCAATCTTTTGGTGCATAGGATGGTGCTCAACCAACTGAGCCACACCGGCCAGGGCTCAGGTGACTTTTCAATGTTGGGCCATATCTTGAGCAGCAAACATACGTAAGCATAACATTGACTCTTGGATTTTCAAAAATACAGTCTTGTTGGTCAAATCATTGTCAGATAAGTGCTGACAGCCACTCAGGACAACAGCCTTGGCTGCCATGGTAATTTCAGTGACATTGGCCTATGGTTCTGGAAGGTCCACGGAGGCCAGGTTCCCCATGTCCTTGGGGTGGGAGGGACTGAGTTACCTACCTTGTGCCAGGTCCTGAGCTGATACTTGGGACATAGGATTTGCAACTTTCCCACATGGAGGCTTTGGCTAGAGATGGGGCGGTTGGGATACAATTGCTGTCACAGAACCCAAATGTCCAGGCTGGCCCACGTGGAACTGGGAGCTAGAGTGGTTCCCATGGAAACAGGCTGCCTGTTCTTTTGCTTGTGTTGCCTTGGCATCTGATGTGCGGCCCCCCCTCCCCCTCAGGTCAAAGCTGCAATTTAATTAAACACTCTGGTGCTGGTTCTCCTTTCTCTCCAATAACACTACTCAAAACAATGCGCTGACTTCCCAAACACAGCCCTGAATGCTGGGAAATGCTCAGCAACTCACCCCCACGCTGTCTGCTCTGCCTGCTCTGTCTGTGTCGCCAACGTGTGGCTGTGAATTTCAGTTCCTCAGTCTCACCAGCCTCATTTCCTGTGCTCGCTACCCACGGGCAGCACCTCCCTGTGGCTGCAGCTTCAGGGGAAAGATTCTACCACGTCGGAGGCCTGACCCCCAGGGGTTCATATTTAATTCTCACGATCCACTAATGAGGGTGCTATAAAATCACCCTACTTTGCAAACATCCCAAATGTCCATCAACAGATGGATGGATGAACAGATTGTGGCATATCCATACAATGAAATATTATTTAACCATAAAAGGAATGAAGTCCTGACCACGCTACAATGTGGATGAACCTTGAAAACGTGCTGAGTGAAAGAAGCCAGACACAAAAGACCACATGGTGTACGACTCCATCTGTGTGAAATGCCCAGAACAGGCCAATCCAGAGGCAGACGCAGACGTAGATTAATGTTGCTTAGGGCTGGGGGCGGGCAGGGTGTGGAGTGACTACTACTGGGGGACGGGGTTTGTTTTTGGAGTAAGGCGAATGTTCTGGAATTAGATAGTGCTGATGATCGCACAATATTGTGACTGTACTAAATGCCACTGAATTTGATGCTTTAAAATAGTTAAAAAATGGTGAATTTTATGTTATGTGACTTTGACTTCAATAAAGAAAAAAAGCAGAAGGACAAAAAATCACCTCATTTTACAGATGAGGCAGCTGCGGCTCCTATGTTAGGGGACTAAGTCAGAGTCCTTGGGAGTAACAGACAGCGCTCTCACCCCCATGTGGGAGTCTCCTGGACTCCTTTACTTCCCATGGCTAATTGGTCACCAAACCCTGTAGATTTGGCCTGTAAAGTGTCCCTGAGACCATCCTTTCTTCTCTGTCCCCTCTGCCTTGTCATCCACTGACCCCCATGGTCAGGTCCCCCGATGGGCACCCACCAGATTCCCATGGCCGGTGGGCAGACACATCCAAGCTGTCCAGGTCCTTGGCTTCAAGCCCAGTGTTGTCATTAGTATGTTACTTTGGGCACATCACACGACTCTGAGCCTCATTTATTATTTGGATGTTGATGAAGATAATGACAGCCCCTCCCCCTACCACTCACTATACAGCATCGTATGAAGACCAAGTGAGATAGTAAAACATAAATGTGCTCTATAAACTGAGGTGCTATGCCAGTGTGAGTGGCCATAGTAATCTGTTTCCTTTAAGAAATAAACATTGTGGACTCCCCTGGCCTGGACTGTAGAGTCTGAATCAGGAGTCTGTGGCCTGCTGAGGGCTGTTTCTTAGCTTCCCTGGAAAAGATGGGTCCCTATTAGACAGCGGAGTTGTTTTCTGACGGTGCTCGGGTACTAACCAGGCAATGAGCTTGATCAGCTCCATTTTGTGTCTCCTTCACACTCAGAGGGCTAGTGGTCTTAATGTAAACCTATACATTGTGTGGGACTCAGCATGGAGGCACCTAGAAAGATTCCAGGAAGAAAGGCACCCTGATTTAAAAAGAAAGTTAAAAACCTCAAATGCATCAGCATTACCTGGGTGCTAGTTAGAAATGCAGACCCCAGGGCCCCATCCGAGATCTGCTGAATCAGTCTGCATTTTAGCAAGACCCCCAAGATTCAAATATACACGAATGTTGGAGAAGCACAGCTCTACACTGTCATTGGGTATCTGAGAGATCCTGGGCCAGCAACCAAAAGCCCTAAAGAACATCACAGTACTGAGCAGAGCTACGTGTACAAAATAAGTAACCCAAGCCAGTAGCATCCCCATGTGCCAGCCTCCCCCAGCTAGGGGCCGTAATGAGACCTCGCTGATCCGTACAGCTAAAATATGAACTATTTAAGAATTAAGCAGAGCAAGGATATGTGATTTCTTAATGAAAAGCACAGAATTTTGGTGGAAAACACAAAGGGGATCCTGATGAAATGGGGACACAAACTGTACCTAGAAATTCGTTCTCAGCGGGGGGTGGTTCTGCCTCCCAGAGGACATTGGGCAATGTTTGGACACAATTTTGGTGTCATAACGGGCTGGGGAGGTGTGATGCTGTATCCCAGGCCAAAATAAGGGCCACTACCTCTTTACCCAACCCCTGCCCCAGCCCGGTTCCCACCTCCATGTGGCTTTCTCATTCCTAGTCAAAGGCTGGGGACAGGAAGAGCTGACGAGCTTCTCTTCCTAAATGACATCCAGCACTTGAGCCTTGACATCCCTAAATGAGGGATGGGAGGGTGCAGGGGTAGCAGCCAGAGAGGCTGGGTTCACATTCCAGCGTGGCTTCCGATGGCCTGTACGGCCTTGGGAGTGTCAGGTGACCCCTCTGAACCTCTATTTTCTGTGAGATGGTTATCAGAGCCTGGGTGCTGTCTTCGGGGTCAAAGGACAGAATGTTGGCCAAGGTCGGTGTTGGGCCCCTGCCGCGCCCCCCTGGGTGCGCTCGTGGCTAATAACCTCTCCTTGGAGACTGGTTTTGTGGTGTTTAAACTGAACCCTGTGCCCTCTTGTTGCTGTTGGCCACAGATGACATCAGATTGTTCGCCTTTGTGCGCTTCACCACCGGGGACGCCATGAGCAAGAGGTCCAAGTTCGCGCTCATCACGTGGATCGGCGAGAACGTCAGCGGCCTGCAGCGCGCCAAAACCGGCACAGACAAGACCCTGGTGAAGGAGGTGGTGCAGGTAACTGGCCTTGTGCTCCTTCTGGATCAAGGGGTCACCACCCAGCGGGGACAGAGAGGCCTGAGTTTGGCTCCTGGGTCGGTGGCTTCAAGCAAGCTGTGCTTTGTCTCTGGACCACCACGGCCGCGGGTGAAACGCTGCCAGCATTGTTTTCAGCGTCAGGCCAGGGGGCAGGTAGCTGTGCCTGTGATCCTGACCACAGCCTAACAGAAGCATTGCAGTTTCCCTGTGAGGCTGGGGCAGGTGGCTCGTGGAGAAGGGGCCTGCGGGGATGGCTGCAATGGCGGCCACTGCCTGTTTGGATCATGAACGATCGTGGTTGACTTCCAGCGGTGGCCACGAGGACCCAATGTGAGAGTTCATGCGTGCCCTCTCTGGACAGTGCCTAGCACACAGTAGGTACTCAGTAACACTTGTTGAATGAATAAATGGCAATCATATGAGGGCCAGCAGGTGCTTTGTGATAATTTTGGTGGCTATAGAATGGCAAAGGCTATATCAGCAAAGGCACAGACTCCTAGCCTGGGTAGCTGGGCACTGGTCAGGGCCGACTTATTCCCAGGCCCCTGTCTGACTGAAAAGAAAGAGGGACAGGTGGACTTGCCCTTGGTTTTGTCTCTGAGCTTCTGAACAGTTCTACTGGTAGAGCTTTCTATTGTAAAGGTTGTTTTTTTTCCCATTCTGGACACAATGAAAATTGACAGCATCAGAAACTTTCAAAGTTGGGTCTAAGGCATAGGGTCATGCTGAGAAAAGAAAATCTGAATTCCAGAAAGAGTCGCCAAGGGAAGGGAGCTGAGGGAGCGAGTTCTCTTCTCACCAAAGGGTCCTCCATTTTGCAAAAGGATTTCTCAAAACCCATGATAGGGAGGAGTGGTAGCCAATGGGTAGGGCGTTTCTTTTCAGGTGATGAAAATATTCTAAAATTGACTGTGGTGATGGTTGTACATATCTATGAATATCCCAAAAGCCATTCATTGTAAAATAAAAAATAAAAACCCAAAACACACACACACAAATAGGCTGTATGCCACGCTGTGTCCTGGGTTGGTGATCCTGACCAGAAAAACTGGAACAGAAAATCTAACTGGTGAAACCGCAATGAAGTCTGGAGTTTAGTTGTCGCCATGTTCCAAAGCTGGCTTCTTATGAGCATACCATAGTAACACAAGATGTTAACAGTTGTGAAATTGGGGTACAGGGTATATGAGAACTCTTGGTACTGTCTCTCAACTTTTCCGTAAATCAACAATTATCCCAAAATAAATCTTTTATTTAAAAAATAATGAGAAAGAAAAAAATTTGTATCATTCCATTATTACAGCCTATTTTTCCACCTTCCCTACCAGCTCTGTGGGCGAGCTCACCCACCTCTGTGCATTGATGCAGTCACAGCCTGCAAATCACGCTCTAACTGGTTTCTTTTTTTTTTGTTAACTTAACATAATTACGTAAATTATGCGACTGCAAAGCCTCTGTAATGAGCTCTTCTGGTGGCTGACTGTCCCATTTCACAAGTGCACTGTAATGTACCGCTTGTTCCCCTGTTGGTCTCTGAGTTGCTTCCCATTTTTATTTTTATAAACAATATTTCAACCAACATTTTAATACACGCAGCTCCTTTCTCCTGATGAGTTGTTTCTTTCTTTTTTTTTTTTTAATATATCTTTATTGATTTCAGAGAGAGGAAGGGAGAGGGAGAGAGATAGAAACATCAATGATGAGAGAGTCATTGATCGGCTGCAGCCTGCAACCCGGGCATGTGCCCTGACCGGGAATCAAACCCTGATCGCCTGGATCCTAGGTCGACGCTCAACCACTGAGCCACGCTGGCTGGGCCAGATTACCTTCTAAAAGGGTTAGCACTATTCCTGGGACATAGTAAATGTTCAAGAAATGGTTTTGATGGTTAACCAGCTTTTGGGGGAGGGGGTCTTCTTTATGGCAGGAGAATGGAAAATACAAAAGAATGCATGTTCCACAGCCAAGGTCTCCTGAATTCTGCCATCCACGCTTCATTAGCTCTCTTCATTGGCCAGCCTGGGGTGGGCAGGAGAAAAGGAAACAAGCAGGGAAGGGAATGTTTGCCAGGATGTGTCCAATGAGCGCAGTGTTTGAATCATGCAGATTGTATTGATAAAATACAATAACGTAAAATCGATCATTTTAGCCATTTTGAAGTATACAGTTCAGTGGCATTAAGTACATTCACAGTGTTGTGCAATCATCACCATTGTCTAGCTCCAGAACTATTCTTATCTCCCTCAAAGAAAACCTTGTGCCCATTAGCAGTCTGCTGAGTTCCTTTTCATCTAGAACTCTTCTCAGTTTGGTTAGGTGGGCCAGTGAATGAGGGTGATTTGGGGAAATAGGATTTTTTGGTGGGAACCTTTAGTTGGGAGTATTGGGTATAATTATTTTGTTTGCAAACTCAATTACATTGCAGCAAAAAGGGAAGTTGTCTGGCTCTCCAGCCTGGGAGTGCAGGGGGTGCTGGCTCTAGGGGTGGCTGGATCCAGGGCTGAGGCAGTGTTCTCCTTTCGTCTCTCTTTTCTCTGGGTTTGGCCTCAGGTGACCTCTGTACAGCAGGAGAAATGGTCCAGGCATGATGGTTCTTCTGGATCTTGATCCCAGGGGAAGAGAGAGCCCTCCTCCCCCAGTGTCAGTCATTTAAAATGACCCCGATTGTCCCAGCTTAGGTCACAGGCACATCCTTTGGGGTAGGGAGGTGGGGCTTCATGATTGGCAGCTCTGGCCTGATTCCAATTAAAATAAAGGGATGCTGGTATCTAGATGAAAAGCACAGATGTCCACTCCAGTGGGTGAGCGGGGATGCATCCTGAACTACAAGTGCAATGTAATATTTTGACCATTACATTTTGCATTTCCACCTATGTATTTAAAAGGGTTTATTACCTGAAGCTATTACAAGACCTCACATTTATACTACAGTTGCAGATATAGCCATTTAAGTTCATTTTGCTGGCATAATGGTGTCTTTTGACAGTCACTAAAATGCCGTTTCCCCTTTGTTGAATGGAGAGTTGGACCAGATGTCCTCTCAATGCCCTTCCAGATGAGTCATTCTGGATTCTATGTTTTGGAGACTGGGTCACTTTCCCAGCTGCCTTTTGCCATGATTTCCATGTAAAGAAGTGGATTAGTTTTGATTGTAATAGAAGTAATGTAACCACATCCTTATGTTTTGTGAGAATGTACATTGATGCAGATACACTGAAATCTTCCGTCTGTATTCAGAGCCAGGCCTAGAGACTGAGCTATGTTAGTGGCTGGGGGAAACAGGACAAACCAGGCTGCCTGGCCGTTGTGCTGGGTGATGGTGACACCTGGACTTGAGTCGAGTCCTGGGAATGTGGCGAACAGACAGCACCCGTGGCTGCTTCTCCACCGCTGTCATCTGCTGCACAGAAGTGCCAGGCTGGTGCTGAGGACAATCGCCCATCCCATTGTTCTGGCACCTCTCTGGGATTATGGGGACAATGCAGTTGCCACCATTAGAGACCTGCCTGTGCCAGGCCAGGCCGTCTTGATTTGGAGCCAGGCTTGGTCTGTGATGCATCACGCTTGCCTTGCAGGATGACTTTATTCGTGTGATCTTTTTATTTATTTTTTAACATTATATGAATGTCCGTGGAGCCAAGTAACCAGAGGGCACATCTCAGCTTTCAGTGTTGGGAAAAGAGAGGAGCAGAGTATTTCCTCCCAGAAGCAGTGGAGGCTGGAGGACAGACATTTCAGTGACGGTGTGCAGTGATCAGCTTAGTGTGTCTTCTGGTGGCTTCTGAACCTCAGGGCAGGGTCTGCTTAAATTCTGGACCTCTGCTCACACCCCCAGGACCAGATGTGCCCAGCGCTCCTCCAGTAGGGTCACTTATGTGTGCCAGTGTGATAATATTAATATCAGTAGTTTTATTGTGTCCCTACCATGAATCTGACACTTTTAAGGACTCTTCACATATTAAATCATTTATGTGCAACGAGGCCAGCTCTGTCATTATCCCCATTTTACAGATGAGGAGCCCGGCGCCTGGGAAAGTTGAGTAACTTGCTCCGGGTCTCAGCGCTTAGACATGGTGGAGCTCTGCCTGGAGCTCAGACTGGTCCCAAAGCCCCGACTTGATCATCTCACCTTATTACATGTTTCCCAAAGTCCTCCAGCACCAAGTAAAATGTTCTGAGGCCACATGCGTTTTAGAAACTCTATTTTTGTAGACTCACATGGCACCCAAGAGGCTCTGAGAAGTTCTGCAGGAAACAGACCTTTTACATTCGTTCATTCATTCATTCATTCATTCATTCATTCATTCCTCACCCGAGGATGTTTTTTCCATTGATTTTTGGAGTGAAAGGGAGGGGAGAGGGGGAGAGAAAGAGAAACATCGATGTGAGAGAGACACCTTGGTTGCTTGCCTCCCACATGCACCCCGACTGGGGCTAAGGATGGAACCTGCAACCCGGATACATGCCCTTGACTGGCTTGAACGTGAGTCCCTTTGGTTTGTGGGCCAACGCTCTAACCACAGAGCCTCGCTGGCCAGGGCTATATTTATTTTTAAATTTACTGCTTCTAAATTTTTCTTGATGATTGAACCTTTTTATTTTTAAAATGGACACTAAACATGGTAGCTCAGTGCTTATTTGAAGAAAAAAAAAATGCTGCTGTGTCAAATAGAAAAGTTAATGGGCTTAGTGGGAATGAGGCCCAAGTTGATATTCCAGCTCCATCAACTGTTAGCTTGAGGACCTTGGGCAAGTAACTTTATCTCTAGAATCTGTTCTCACTTATGAAAAAGAGAATGTAAAATTTCACAGAGCTGTTGGAAGGATTGAAGAAAAGTAATGTCTATGAAAAAAGTTTCTCCATTTTGGTAACTGGTGAACTCCTAATCATTCTTCAAAACTCCAGTTCTTTACCCCATTCTACCTTAAATTCTGCCTCAATCAGAATTAATTAATTCTTCATCTAGATTCCATAAATT